GAGAGAGACGACGAGAGAGAGAGAGAGAGAGAGAGAGAGAGAGAGAGAGAGAGAGAGAGAGAGAGAGAGAGAGAGAGAGAGAGAGAGAGAGTGTGTGTGTGAGGGGAGGGGAGGGACAAAAGACAAGAGATCCACATTCAAACACTGCACACATTCCGAGGATTACAGTCATGTCATCTTTACCAATAATAGACTGTGTCAAGGCGAGTGTTATTATAGTTTCAATTGCTTAACAGTGTTCAGGTTGCAGGAAGCCCCTTGGTAACCCAGTTAGGAGAGGGAGGGAGATGTGGCTGAGATTCCAGGAGCCTCTACTCGGGCCCTGGGGCATGGCATCTTTCTGTTTAGGCTTTTATCTTAGGCCTGAGTGAATGACTGTGGCAGTCTGCTTCTGAGATCTTGCTCCAGGAGTGTAACATGCACCTAGAACCCTGAAATACAAGCCTTTAGAAGACGACGGAGGAGAACCCAAAGACCAGAGTTCTGCATCTGGAAACCCAGTCTGTCTCTCAAGCAATCTGAGGTTCCCAGATTGGCCATGCCTGACACGCATTTGTAAAGGGTTTTGAACTTCCATCAAGAGGACGGGCTTTAACCTGGCCTTTTTCATATTTCTGTTTTTCAAGGTTGCAGGTTGCAGGTTGCATTTCCTATTTTCCTTTAGAATTATCTCTTGCATTAGCTTTTTAATGATTTTTTTAAATTAAACCTTCTACCTCATCATTAGCTTTTTTTAAATTGGCTTTATTTTCTAGAGCAGTTTTAGGTTCAAGGAAAAACGGAGCAGAAAGTGCAGAGAGTTCCCACACACCCCCAGGCCCCACACAAGCACATCCTCCCCTCTCCACTATTATCCGCGTCTCCCATCAGAGTGATGCATTTGCTACAATTGATGAACCTACACTGACACATCATTATCACCCAGGTCCATGGTTTACATCAGGGTTCACTCTGGGTGTTGTACATTCTACAATTTGGGCAAATGCGTAACGGCATGTATCCTTCACTTAGTGTCACACAGAGTATTTCACTGCCCTAAAAATCCTCTGTGGGTCATCATTTCATTCCTCCCTCTCCCCTAGACTCCTTAGCAACCACTGACTTTCTTTTTACCATTTCCATAGCTTGCATTTCCCAGATGTCATATAGTTGGTATCATTCACTATGTAGCCTTTTCTGATCGGCTTCTTTCACTTAGTAATATGTATTTAAGGTTCCTCCATGTCTTCTCATGATCTAGTGGCTCATTCCTTTTTAATACTGAGTAATGTTCCATTGTCTGGATGTACCACTATTTGTTCATCCATTAATATGCTGAACGACATCTTGATTGATTGGTTGCCATTTTGGCAATTATAAATAAATCTGCTATAAGTATCTATGTATAGGCTTTTGTGTGAATGTAAGTTTTCAATTCCTTTGGGTAAAGGAGCATGAGAGCTTGATCTTTTGGTAAGAGTATGTTTAGATTTTTAAGGTATTGACAAACTGTCTTTCAAAGTGGCTGTACCATTTTACACTCCCACCAGCAATGAATAAGGGCTCCTTTTGCTCTAAATCCTCACCAACATTTGTTGTTGTCGGTGTGCTGGATTTTGACCAGATGTGCAGTGGCATCCAAATACTGTCTCATCACTATACTTCTTCAGGTCTTAAATGAGAAAATTGGGTCACTGTCTCCATCTTGATGTCTCCTACACCTACATTTCTGGCCCAGATCTCTCATCTAAGTTTCAGATTCACACATCTGACTTAGACCTTTCTACCTGGATGTACATCACATCCTTCAAACTCAACACACCAGAATGAAACTCAAGAGTTCTCCCTTCTGGCCTCCCTCACCTCCCTGACGAACAACAATTCCAAAACCCCTGCTTCTTTTTATTTAGCCCATCTACCTAACTGCCTAGAGTGGGAACCTGGGCTTCATCTTCCATTCTTTCACTCTTCACCAGTCTAATCAATCAACCAGTTCTATGAGTCTCCTAAATATTTCTCGATACCATTCATTCCTCTCCATGCTTACTGCCAATATCCTAATTCAGACCACCCTACAATGGCCTCCCACTGCCCTCACAGTACAATTCAAACTTGTTAACACCACATGGATGATTTCTATCTCAAAGTGTTAATGTGCATCAACTCATAGGCCTGGCCCTGCCTTTACCTGTGCCAAAAACAACCGGCTCCTGCGTGAAAGGTAGAATATAGAGCACAGCAACTTTTACAGATGGAAAGAAGAGGCTTCTTTCAGATAAACTATCTCTTTTTTTGTTTTTTTGTATTGTAATGTTTTATTTCTTAAGTTCTAATACATCATTCATCAATATTACTAACTGGTTTAATAACATATTCTGAGAAAAATGGAAAATTGACATGTTAAATGTATAATTTTCACTTATATTTTCTCTTTGTCTTTTTTTCCCCACTTTTTTTTGTTTTAGTTGAAGTGTAGTCAATTTACAACGTTGCCTCAAGTTCTGGTGTACAGCATCACGTTTCAGTCACACACATATACATATATACATAAATTCCCCTTCATATTCTTTTTCATTATAGGTTACAATAAGATACTGAATATAGTTCCCTGTGCTATACAGTAGAAATCTGCTGTTTATCTATTTTATACATAGCAGTTAGTATCTATAAATCTTGAACTCCTAATTTATCCCTTCCTCCTCCTCCCTACTCCCCAGCCCACAACCATAGTTTGTTTTCTATGTCTGTGAGTCAGTTTCTGTTATGTAAATAAGTTCATTTTTAGTTATCACAGCTAAAGTTTCACTCGTTACATTTAACATTACTTACTTTCAATGATAAAATATTATGCATGTAATTGTAACACTGGGGATGTAGAGTGTCTGGGCAGAGAATTTATTATCCCTGTAGAAACTTTACACATTATAGAAGGCATGTCTTAATGGAAGAGACACATTGATTTTCCTGTCCGTATACAACAGATGTGCAAGGGCTAATATTCCACATTATTTTTTAAAATTTTATTTATTTATTTATTTATTTAGATTTTGGCTTTTGTTTTGTTTTGTTTTGGGGGGGGATTAGGTTTCTTTCTTTCTTTCTTTTTAAACTGAGGTACTGGGGATTGAACCCAGGACCTCCTGCATGCTAAGCATGCACTCCACTACTGAGCTGTACCCTACCCCCTACATTATTAACCTTCCTCAAAAGACTTACTGCAGGATGTTTTCTACAAGGAATTTTATCTACTGTGTTTCTCTGGCACATGTGGACTCAATACCTCATTGCTTTTCACTTGTGAACATGTCATTTTTTATTGCTCTATGACATCCATCTATTAAGCATGCCACTTGATATATGCTTCCTCTGCAAGTAGGTAGAAAGATCTCAAGGCCATGAGCAGTATCACCTATTTTTTTTTAATGTTTTTAAAATTTTGGGGGGGAGGAATTAGGTTTATTTATTGACTATTTTTTTAGAGGTCCTAGGGATTGAACCCAGGAACTGTGCATGCTAGGCATGTGCTCTACCACTTGAGCTATACCCTTCCCCCTCGCCTATTTTTTTTACTACAATGAAGCCTCCCTCACAAATTCACACTAAAGCACCAAGTCCCCCCATCCAGAATTCTTGCGCTTTACAATGTTCTTTTGAGCTTCAATGCCATATAATTTAACTACAAATTATAAAGCTGTCTAAAGGTGAACATATTCACATGTCTGATAGGCATCTCAAAGTCTATATATCCCCAAAACGCAAAGTAACTTAAAAGTCAAACCTGTGTCTCCACAATTTTTTTCTCCTTCCGTAGCAGAAAATTTTCACCCATAACTGCTCTTTCACGATCACCAAATTCTAAATTCTGCGATCACAAATGACTCTTGTATCTGTCACTCCTTTTTCCACTGGCCCTGATCACAGCCAGGCCACAATTCTCTCACTTAGACCACAGCAATAGCCTCCCAAAAGGATTGCTCTGAATTGGTAGAATCTACCCTTTGTATTTGTACTGCTAGTTTCCAAACATTGACAGAATCACACTTATGAACTCAAAAGAACTTATACAAAATAAAGTCCAAATTCCTTGCTATGGCCATTCTGGGCGCTCCACGGATTATCCTTAGCTTCATCCTAGCTGGCTGGCTTATCGAGAAGTGTGTCTCCTTGAACCTCCTGGGGTAGGGGTGCCGGGCCTCCCCGATCCCCGTGTTTACGTAGATGTACTAGTTTTGTTGAATTGGAATCATTAACGTTACTCTCACAGGAGGTGACTGCTCAGCTGGAAATGCAGCCACACTCGCTGTGTGTGTCTCAGTACCATTACAATTTACTCGGACGCTCCCACTGCTTCCGAGCAGCGTTATCATCTTTGGGGCTGCCCAGCAGCAGGGAAGGCTGACTGTGGGCAGTTACCCGCTTTCTTTAGCCTGGGGTTTGGGAAGGGAGTCCTGCTTTACTTTCAACATTCCTCTCATAGATCTGACCTGACTCCAAAATTGCATGGGACCCGCAGTGATAAAACGTGACAAAAACCAAAATATGAACTTTTTTTTTTTGCATTCATAGCCTCGGTCTTATCATAAGCACTGTGTTAATTTAAGTCAGGAAAGCAAAAAAACAAAAACAAAAACGCACGTAACAGCCCAAACTCACAGCGCAGCCACAGCCCGGCGCCTCCTCAAGTCTCGCGAGAGAGGAGGACCGGCTCCGGCTTCCTCCTGTTTCTCGCGAGAACCGAGGGCTCCGGCTTCCCGTTCGCCGAGACCCGGGCAGGTCGGCGGCGGCGGCAGCAATGGCGGCCCCCTTGTCCGAGCGGCTGTTCTCGCTGGAGCTGCTTGTGGACTGGGTACGCCTTGAAGCCGGGCTGCTGCCGCCGCCCGCGGTCGCGGTGGAAGAGCAGGAGCAGGCGGAGGAGGAGGAGGAGGCATCGCCGCCGCGGCCCTCGCGTGGCCTGTGCCCCGCCGTGGCCTTCCGCCTGCTGGACTTCCCCACGCTGCTGGTTTACCCTCCCGGCGGCCCCGCCGCCCCCGCCCCGGAACCTCGGCCCGGCCTGGTCAGCTTCGGTCGCGGCAAGTCCTGTCTGTTCCGCCTGCACGGCGCCACCTTGCACCGCCTGCTGCTTCGGACGCCGCTTTACACCTTGCTGCTGCAGCTGCCCCCCGGGCGCCCGACTCCCGCCCCGCAGCTCCTAGGAGCCTGCAGCATCTCGCTGGCAGCCGCGGTGCACAAGGTCCTGGGGCCCGCCGCCTCCGGCTGCTCGCAGGGCCATCGAGGGAGTTTCCCTCTGCATGACCGGGAGGGGAAGCGGATTGGGGACATTGCCCTGGGCTACCGCCTGACCGATCTGGGAAGCAGTCTGCTGGGCCATCTGGAGCGGCCAGTCACTTCCACAGGAGGTGGAGTGGCGGGTGCAGAGGTGCAGAAAGCAGTAGAGGTCAGTTCCCAAACCTTGCCGGGGAGACAGCAGCTGCAGCTGCCAAACTCAGAGCCAAGCCCAAGAGATGCTGATGAGCCTCTGGTGGACGTAAAAATCTCAGGGGCACAGAAGGATTTGAAAGAAAAAGTTTTCCACAGCAAGACCGACTCTGATAACACGGGTTCTGTGGAGAATGGCAAAACTAGCTGTGTTATTTGTTCAAGTGGTAGCAGCAAGAAAAGTGTTAGCCCCCCAAATCAGGAAGTCACAGAGTTGGATGTTGAAACCAACATAATTTGCCCTCCTCCTCTGTATTACACGCATCTGAGCCACAAAAAGACACCTCCTAAACAGGGTAAAATCACCATTGAGCCCCAACTGAATGCAACTGAGGAACTGGATGGTACTTTTCTGGCAGGAAAACTTGTAAATCCCCCAGCACATACTAACCCTCTAGAACATACAAATTCTGAAGCACATGAGAGGCCTCCAGTGCTTATAAATCCTTCACACGTTCAGGATATAGGAGCAAGTAATCAAACTACAGACCGTTCTCAAACTGAACAAAATAGAATTAATACTATAAGGCAGCTGCCTTTATTAAATGCTTTGTTGGTTGAATTGTCCCTGTTATACACCCAACCCGTGGCAAGCCCTACTCATATACATCCTCACTTAGCCTGGTTATATAGAACTGAAGATAAGAAGTCACCAGAATCTTCTGCTAAATCCACATGTACATCTGAATCTAAGGATAAGCTTTCTGTGGGGGAAAATGAAAAGTCAGGGAGTCTTCTGTATACAAAGAACAAAAGTGAAAATCTTAAGAAAGCTAAATGTTTTGAAAAGAAAGGTGGTACCCCCCAAAAAAGAGTTCCAAGGGGGAAACTACTTTATGGCTTAACAAATACGCTAAGATTGCGTTTAAAGCAAACAAATCCTGGTATGTTGGTAGTACATGAAAAGAGAGAACAGTATAGAAAAATGCAAGCACAGATATTAGGTGCAAAACTCAGAATTTCATCATCCAAAGTTAAGGTAGTAAATTTTGCAGAGCAACATCAGAAGCCGCATCAACTGCCTAAAGATAAGTATTTAGAATCAGATGCATCTTTTGCTGAAAATAGTGGTACCTCAAAGCAAGTTAGTGTTGCTTTTGATGACCCCAGCACGACTAAAGAAACTCAGCTGAAACGTGCAACTGAAAAGACAGTTGATTGTGGTGAAAATGGAACCAGTAATGATTTATTGGAAGAAATCGTGAGTCCTGCAGACTCCATTGTCTCAGAAAGGTTTATCCATACAAATATGGTGGAAGGAAAAGTGGAAATGAAAGCCCCAAGTCTGTTTGTTTTCCAGCAGGATGCAGCTGTTGACCAAATCATAGTAGGTAAAGAAATAGGTGACAGGCAGGGCAAAGTTACTGATAATGACATTCCTACTGCTGATAGGAGTGAAAATAGTCCAAGTAAAAGCAGTTGCTCCAAAAGCATCTCAGAACTAAAGTCTTCAGGTGACTTCACCAGCCCTTGCTATTCTGAAGACACCAGCAGAATTTTACAAGCTCATGACAGGAGACACAGTCAACATACGAGTCAGTCTAGTGAAACAAGACCGTCCATGAGGAAAAATGGCAGTGAGAAGAGTTCTATTCTTAGCCCACCTTTTTCAGCTGGATCACCAGTGCTCTCACATAAAAGATTCCATATTTCAAAGACTCAAGGTAGAAGTTTGGAGGAAGCATCTTATGTCTCTACCAGTGACTTCTCCTCATCCCATTGGACTGAGGAAAAAGAAAACCAGATAGACCAAAATAGTATGCATAATTCTAAAGTTACAAAGAGGGATCAAGACATCTCTACTAAACTTAAGTCAAGAACTGATAGCAAGTCCTCAGAAAAAAGCCAGTCACCTCGAACATCTCAAGTGAGTTCTTATCTGCCTTCTAATTTGTCAGAACTAGAACTTAATGTCCTGGATAGCAGCCCTTCAGATCACTTTGAAGAAGACAATGATGACATTTATTCACTAAACATTTCCAAGCAATGCAAAGATATTTGCGAATTAGTAATAAATAAACTTCCAGGATATACAGTGTAAAAATATGTGCTTTTAAATAATGTTTAATGTTTTATAATCTGTGTATGCTGTTAGTGAAACAGTTTTTAATAGCTCTACATTATTTTCATTACATAAATTTATGTGAATAATTCATTTTAAGAATATGTGTTTGTCATTCCTTCGGTGTTTAAATAGTATTCTGCCGTTAAATCTGACAAGATTGATCGTGAAACCACTTTATAACCTAGGTAAGATTTAAGTTGTTTAATATTATGAGAATAAAAATATCTTCTTAAACTGTCTCTATTAAGTATCCCAAAGTATCAATCACCCTAAAGCTGACTTCATACACACCATTGAAAAAAGGCTAGTTAAGAAGGATAGCCTCAAATTTTAATGGAGATAAATTGTTTCACAAATATAGAAGACTGACTTCTGTAAGACTTACCTTACAGAAAGGTGCAGAAGAATGTAGGACGTAGCCCTGGCAGTTATAAGAGCTTACTGTTTTATATAAATATTCTTTAGGGGAATCTTCCTGGACACATGCACATTCCGTATCTCCAATAGGTGAAGTCTTTTTTTATATGCTGTCACAGTTCTCTGTATGTTTTTTTAAATCACAATTTTGGTGTTTGTGTGATTGTTTGACTAATGTTTCGCTTATGATAGGCTTGAGTTCTGTAATGGAAGGAACCGTCTCTGTTTTGTGCACGGATATGGTCTTAGTATGTAGCACAGATTCTGGCATGTGGCTGGGGTGCAGTAAAAACATTTGTTGAACAAAGAAATGATGGCCATGCACATAAAATATCTAACGGGAGGGATTAGAATTAAGCAGTAAAAACAACCAGAAGTCCTAAAGATGTCCTTTTGGAGACATGGTTATTTGATGGTAATATTTTTGTTTCGCTGAATATCGGCATCCTTGAGGTCTTCTCTGAAGTATTCAGAGAAGGGACCTAAAAAAATTGTCTTCTTGTATAGTTTCTCGTATGCAAATTCAATTTATTGTCATTTCAGCTTGTTCAATAGTTATTTTTAGGGTATGAAAGTTTGTGTTTATGAAGTCTGGTGGTAATTTCTTCCAGTGATTTTATACTTAGACCTCACTCTGTGTTCAAATATTTACAAATGTTTTCTTCTATCTATGTTATATTTTTAATTTTTACACTTTTTTAAATATAACTAATAGTTTTGGATGTATGAGGTAAGACCCTAATTTTCCTTCCTTTAGAAGTAAGTAAATAGTTATGTAAGTGTTATCTTTTGAATGACCATAATAATAGAATTTAGATAGATGGTAAGAGGTGAGGATAGTATATTTTAAAGGAACAAAATGAATAAAAGATCGATGCTGAGACTAAGCATGATGTATTCGTGGGACTGTGAAACTCTTGTCTTGATTAGAATGGTAGAGTCATAATACAGAGTGGTAGAAAGAAGATTTGTTGAGTAAGAAAAGTCCCAGATTACAGGGAGCTTCAAATGCCAAGCATAATAGTAAAGTCCTAAGCAGTAGAAACAATAGAGTATTTTAATTTATAAATGAGCACCAGTAAGTAGTCAGTAAGGTTTGAATATTTTAAGTTATTGGAATAGTTATGTAGAGGTACAGAAAGTTCTGAAATATGAACTGTTTTTAACGGCTAATGACTATGATCTTAATTTTGTGGTAAATGTAATGTAGATAGTATATCATGTCACAAAATCAAAATAATTTAGTGGTAGGTGCTGTAGCTAGATATTCAAATGACGTCAATGTGGTCTATAAATTGTTACCAGTTTTCCATGATTATGGAGGAGACAAAATATAAGCAATATCAGAATCATCAGAGAAATAATTTTTTTAAAACTTTTATTTAAAGTCGTCTGATGAGAACAGGTGAGGGAAATGATGAATTCAGTGTCTTTAAGGTACAACAAAGACTAAAGAACTAATGAACTTTAAATCACAAAATTGAGTGAGTGAATAAGCTTCTCTTTGAGTCATTCCATGAATGCTTATTTCTAGAATTGTGGTATTGGTTTTTCTAGCTTAACTCTAGTGAAAATACCTGTTTTTGCATAGTTGGGACTTCCTGCTTGCATCCTATCTTCAAATTCTATTCCATGTTTTAATTCTACAATGTATAAACTTAGGTCTTTAAGACTCATAAGAGGTACCACTCCTGAAGTCTCATTTATCTCTTTAATTGCTTAAAATCACTGAAACATGAAATAGCATTTCAGGGTCATAAATAAGGGAGATTGTCATTTAATTGTGTGTAAAATTAAGCTAGTGCGACCCAGCCTTTCTGAGTAGCTTGGGTACCTTCACTGCTGCAGGCAGAGCTGAATGGGCCTGAGCCACGGAAATGGAGCCATGGCCGACCTCTGTGCAGTGTGAACACCTGCGCTTGGGAGGCCGCTGTCGGTGGCGGCAGGTCCTTTGAACCCTCACTGTAAGCAGATGTGAAGAAGACTGTGCGGATGCGAACATCCAGCGTGCTGGGTTTTCCCCCTGTCGTATGCGTGCTGTCGACGACTTTAGAAACTAAGAACAAGGCCACTGAACTCTCATGTGCTTGTGCCTTTCTGTGGAGAGCCACCCCTTCACGTCCCAATTAATTTCATTTTTCTGCCTGTACAAGCAGTGCATTTATTTTGGAATCCAAGTAGGAACCAAACTTTTCTTGGTTGCGAGCATATAGGTCAAGACTATAAATTTAAAAAATCAATTTTTAATTATCACGTTGTGTCGCTGGCAAGGCAAAGCAATTTCATAACAAAGCAACACTGAAATGAGATAAATAATATTTATATTTGTCTGGTCATAAACTGTCCTTGGGCCTAGAGATACAGCCATCCTTATCTAGAGACTTTGTACAGAATGACAGTTTATGAGACTTGCCGCATCCTTCTCTTCTCACTTTTAACCTAAAACAAGGAGAACTTACTTGGTCAAGGACCAAGGCTTATTTAATGTTTTTCTCCGGAGATCTAACTGTCATAACAGGAAGTAACAGGCTTGGGTTGAGCGTTATTAGGCTGGAGTGCCAAGCCATAGTGGAAGTAGAATTTACTTGTTTTCCAAGCATTTCTTAAATCTCTGTTATACAAATAATGTATATAAATTCTGGGGGAAAAGTAGAAAACTCAGATAAGAGTTTTTGCTTCAAAATTGTGTATTAAGGAAAAGTTGTGGTCCTTTCAAAGTCCTACTGAAAAGAGAGAGGAGATGTAACAATAAGAATGAGCCCAGAGTAGCCTTGGAGAACAAGGAAAATGCTGGGGGTCGACAAAAGACAGTTGGAGGAACTTCTGGAAGAGCAAAGCAGATGGGATTAGGTTGATGAAAAATGGACTGAAATGTCCTTTTCAGCGTAGCCCAGGGGGGTGCTGCTGGAGAGGGAGGAGACGGTGTTTCCTAACAGAGCCCGAGAGAAATTCCAGGTTCACTCGGCAGGCCTCTGGAAGGAGCAGGTCCTGGGCCTCGGAGGGTAGAAACCGAACCCTGAGTGTGATGGGGAAGCTGGGGCTGGCCTAAAGGTTATCTACTAGGAGAGGTGTTGGGACCAGGGAGAAAAACTAGTATTTTTGCTTTTGACACCAAAACATTAATAGCGTCTTTCTCAGTTTAATGGGGGAGACCACTAACCCTAGTGGCAAATTAAAGTGAGACAGATGAATGGTGTTTGCATCTTTGATCATGTCATGCTATTTTTATTTTTTGAGATTATTCGTTATAGGATTTGCGTGGGGATTGAGTCCAACAACACGCATCTAGCGTATACAACGGTGAACGTGCGAATGAGTATTGGGGGCGGGTTTAATCTTACAAGGATGTACTGGTATCTGTATTCCACCCTCGGGGGATATATTTTCAATAAAACCTCAGTCAGGAAATCAACTCTTCCTTCCAGAAGGTTAAAAACAAGCTTTCTACCTGACATTGTAACCGAGTAGGAGACCCCTCGGCAGCAGGAGTCTGCGGAAAGGTTTGGCTTTTAATAAGGAATGTTTGTGTTTGCCCAGGAGCAGGCCTGAGTCACAGCGCAGGAGACAACAGCTCAAGGTCACAGGCTGGAAGGAAAGTCTGTGGAGTGGAACGGGTCCACGAGTCAGCAAATGAGTTCGTTATTACACAATCAGAAACCTGTATTTGCGAGCTTGACTATTAAGGATACCGTATGTTTTATTCGTTTGTTTTTGGTGTTCTTCCTGGTTTTAATGTAGGCCTTTTTGAAGGCTCTTGCAGTAGAGCTGTAAAAGCAGCAGGAACTGGATTTGGTTGTGGCTCATAACTGAGCTGAAACCGTAAAGGAGGAGCAGGGTACCCCCAGGGTCTGCGACTGAAAAACCAAGGAAAGAGATCCAGCCCCTTTTCCACCCAGAGATTTCTCCTGCAGCTGTTCTCTCCTGGAAGCCTTTTTGTTTCTTTAAGGGAGGCTGTTCAATTACAGGGAGCGCCACACCCATCAGCTGCCTGGAGTACCATATTTCATAACGTGTGATTTTGGTGTCAGCCCTGTGGAGTGAATTGGGACTGAATTCTGGGCTCAGAATGACATTAAAGAAAAATGATGGATTGCTTTAGATGTGGAGAGACCTGTTGTCAAAAGAGTTGATCTAAAAAAATTATTGCTTGTGTATCCAGAATTCTTAAGAATATTTCCAAGTACTTTGGGACAGTATTTGTTAACCTGAGGGAAAAGATTTTTCTCATCTGAAAAAGTTCCAAGTGTGAATGTTGGCATCTTGTCAGCAAAGTACTCCGAATCCCTGATACTCTGTGTGACAGCCAGAAGCCAGGTCCTAGGGGGGCTCAGCTTTTACCTTCAGATGGAGCCGCCTTGCGTCCCTGTGCGCCTTCTCTGGAGTATGTGATTCCTGGGGACTGATCCTACTTCACTGATCACGGTGTGAGCTCCACTGTCAGCCTCTAAGAATCAGTGTAAAGAGGTGTGATTTCACTAAAATGATGGCCTTACTTTTCACTGGAAAATAAGATTGCTGGGGGGAAAAAAAAAGGTATTTTGGTTACATGGTCTCCATTGTTGTCATTAATTTAATGCTAATGCCTTCTGACGCTGGATAGCATTTTACCGCTGGTGAAGAACTGCCACTGGCTCACTTCCTCCCCAGGAGAGCCCTCTGAGTCACTGATACAGATGGGAAAACTGAGGCTGTTTTCCACATCCAATGGATTTCTCACTTTCATAGGAAAACTGAAAGGCTCTTGTTAAATAAATCCTAGGAAGTTAGTGTTCCTTCAATACTTATTTCCAGAGTAACACTGGATAGCAGTAGTCCATAATTA